ATGTGCTGTCATCCCTGCTTTATGGTACAGAAATATGGACTATATATGCCAGGCACATCAGGAAACCAAACAGCTTCTGCATGAAATGCCTGCATAAGATCCTAAAAATAAAGTGGGAAGACAAAATGCCAAACACAGAGGTACAGGAATGTATAGGACTGACACACTAAGAAACAACTATTAAGAAGGCTGTATCAAACAAGTGAGAAGAGACTGTATCCCCAGAAGTATTTTGTATGGCATATTTCAAGACAGTTCAAGACATGGTCACCCCCTATGGTGATACCATAATGTGCGCAAAAATTATATAAAGTCATTCAACATCAGTGTAAAAAGCTGGGAGGAATACACAGAATACGTCCAACCTGGAGGGAACATCTGGCACTGGGTGGAGCTCAACGTGAAGTGGCTTTGATCCAGAGGATGGAAGCGAACTGAGAAAGAAGGAAGCAATATGCTATCAACCTGGACTCCAACTCTGTCCACAGATGGATCTGTGAAACTTGTAACAATCTGTGTTGCTCTCCAGTTGGCCTTGTCAACCACAAGGTGACTTATCAGGCACTTGACTATCTCTCTTACACATATACCATGATCCAGAGGATTGACAGTTGCCTAAAAAAAATAAAAAATATTAAGCAGTATATAAATCAAAAGAATCAGATATTCAAAACAGTTATATGGTCCATAGAATCTTACTATTTTTAGTAGCTGTATAGTCATGGATGTGTAATATAGGGCCCTACCCTGAGATTCACAGAATACCTGTAAAACGTTGAGTAAGTGTCATCCATTCCCATTGAAATCAATATTTAGACAGGTATTTAAAAAGAAACAGAAACAAAAACAAGCCACTGCAAATAAACCCCAGACAATTGTCCCTTAAATATCTTTCTTGCAAAAGTTTAAGATTACATTCACATTGATGTAATTTGACTGGAAGAGGTAATATTGTGCATGTACTTTGGAAATCTCTAGGAAACAAGTCTTCCTATAGCACATAAGGTTTTCTATAGGAACCTGTAGTAATGGAGATCACAGCGCTTGGCATAGCACCTCAGAGCAGGTACTCAACATTCAATGCATCACAAGATGCAGGTTCACTTCTCATGGAGGTGCTGTAGGCTCTGTGGGTGCTATACACATGCTATACACCTGGTTGGGTGTGGGTTGTTTTATTTAGAGCAGTCCCTGGAGAGCTGCTCTAATTAAAACACAGCAGCGTTATGTGTATTAAGCCCTTATGTATTTAAAAATGGTTGCAGGGAGCTTTAACTACATCTCATTCAAGGAGCTCTAGTTAAAATGCCCAAGCAGCCATTTTTAAACCTATGGGGGCTTATTCACGTGATGAGCAGTGATGTTAGAGCATTCTAATTAGATGCATTAGCACATATACATAGGCATCCTGGGTGCTCCAGGGAGTTCCAGTTTGAAATGATTCATCACAGAAGCTTACCAACTTCTCACAAAATGAGGCAATGCCGATACTTCAGTAAACCCAGCTCTGCATCACTACAGCAGCTACTGAACATGAACGATTCAGTCCTACTATTTTACTGTGCAGTGGAATTATTACAGTTTATAGAACAGTAAATGTGATGACACCAGTTATAATAGCACAAGGTTTACTGTAAAATTGCTGCTGAGCTCACAGCTATTCCTAACTGCCTTTTTCTTCTCATATTCACAAACGTTATCTTTTTAAGGCACATAAACACAATTACCATGTTAATTTAGGCTGAAAAATACCTCGTTATTTGGGGGGGGTTGTTTGTTTTCTTTCCCCCCTTATGAGATAAGGGATTCTTCTGAATCCCAGAAGGAACCCTTAGGATTCTTCTCCTCTTTATTCATGCCAGCTTTCTTGGCTTTATGCCAGTGCTATTATCTTTCCCTCCCAACTGGACTTGACTGCCTGCTTAAGAGTTCAGCAGGTCCACTGCACAGCTAGAAATTACAGTTTAGAGCGATGCAAAGCCTTTTAACTCCTTCTCTGCTCCAAAAATGGCTAAGCATTCTGCTTCTGCAACACTAGAATATATCAGAAGGAACAGAGTGATGTAGGCTGGAAAAAGAAACCATGTCTCACTCTTAGCAGCACAGCATGTGAACCAGCTGCTATTGTTTTGAAGGTCATGGGAAGTGACTGGATTACTCACAGGGTAACCCTTCGCATATCATTTCAGGGCACCAAAACTAGTCAGAAAGCTGTTGGCTGAAGCTAAGAGCAGTCCCTGGTTGTCTGCTATTAGCAGATTGTAAAGTTAAAAAAATATATAGGGGTCTTCTTGGGTCAATGTAGAGAACAACCCAACTAGAACTAGTCTTTGGAATATTGGTCTGCTTCTTCAAATACAGTTGCAAGGCGGTTTTTATACAGTTGTATGAGAAAAGGAAGTGTGCTGGTTTTACAAGACTTAAAAACATGTGAATCATTATTTCCTTTCTAGCTGATACAGACTGTTAGTGCAATGGACAAAGACGAGCCTCCTCAAGGACACAAATTTTTTTTTGAGTTGGTGCCAGAATTTGCAGTTCATCCAAACTTCTCTATTGTAGACAACAAAGGTAAACATCTCTGCTCATCAGTTTCATCTCATCTTTTTTTTTCCCACCACACTGCACAAAATATCATACTGTAATGTGTATTCATTCTGGTTTTTCCATTTCAGATAACACAGCAGGGATAATGACTAGAAGAAATGGATACAGCCGTAGTAAAATGAGTACCTATCTCCTGCCAATCATAATATTTGACAATGATTACCCAATCCAGAGCAGCACGGGCACACTGACAATTCGAGTGTGTGCCTGTGATAGCCGGGGAAATATGCAGTCCTGTAATGCTGAAGCCTTGCTTCTTTCAGCAGGCCTCAGCACAGGTGCTCTAATTGCCATTCTCCTCTGCATCATTATACTGCTAGGTAAGTGCTCTTTGCAAGAAGCATTTCATACAATATGGAAAGTGGTAGTCACTACTTTGTTCATTGCTGTCATTCTATGAAGTTCTGTTTATCATGCGACTGGTTAAAGCTGTGAAAGAGGCCATTTTTTTCTCATTGGCTTCATTTTAACTGAGGAGTTGAGTTATAAATGTCACTGAGCAGAAAGCAGAACACTGTGATGAGACCACTGCTTTAGTTAAATATAATATCAGGTAATTAAAAGTCTAGGTCTAGGTCACTGCCATCTTTACTCACGTGAGCAGTATCTCGATTCACAAATAGTAATGTATTTAGATGCATGTAGTTAACTAACACACTAGGTGGCTTGAACAGCAGAATCTGGCCCCAGTGATTAAAAATTAAATGATTATATCTGTCATTAAGCTACAAAATATTTGTATTTTGTATGCATTAGGAAAAGTTAGATCATATATAGGAAACAGAACAGGAACTATAGACATCGAAATATTCAAATGCTTCCATGTGGAATGGAATGAGCCAGAAGATATTATGTGCATGGAAGAGAGAGCATGTGAAGAAGCTGTAGAGAGATGAGATGGAATAAAACCTCAAGCTGGTAAACTAATGCTAGGAAGTAGAAATCTCTGGCTGTCATAGTTGCCAGCCAGAAACCTTGCCTCCCTAGTGGGGCTACAATCTGTTTCCCAATCAAGTTTTGCTTCAAAACCCATTGTATCTAGCATATGCCCACAGCAGGGTAAAAGACAAGGCAAAAATAACTTAAATTCCAACTTTTATATCCACTGGGGTCTGAGGAACTTTTTCCAGGTTTTAGGTCTTCAATGGTGAACATTAGAAGCTGGTGAGAGAGACACACAGAAGTAGCACAGGGACAGATTAGGATTTGGGGACAAAGGGGAAGATGGCCAACACTTTTAGTCCCCTGTACCTTGATGCTTTGCTAAGTCATAATTCAATACAATGAAGTAGGCTAAGGAAGACCAGAAATGGAGGCTGGTGAACTGGTTAAGAACATCATGCTCACATTAGACATTGAGCACCTAACTGTGAATACGAAAGATACTGTTTTATAGGACCTTATTTGAAGCATGCCCATGATTAGTCAGCCCTCATAACTGCCCTGTTTCTTAAATGCTTAAGCATGCATGAATGAGCTACTATGCCTGGTTGACAATAGGAGCAATTGAAAATCTAAATTAAGCTATTGCACACACAAATCAATAGAAACAAATAGTCTCCTACACTTACTAGACCATATTTAAGTTCAAAGATCCTAGCCACAGTCCCTATATGTCCTCAGTGTGCCCACTCTTCCCTTCATTCTTAAATGATCAAGTTATTTTTAGTGCATAATTTTGTTCATGTTGCTATGCACAGAGTACTGGCATAATCTAATTCCAAGTGTCGTATTACTGTTTCAGTCTACAAAAAATCAGAGTTACCAGTATATGTCCAGTATTGTTAAGATATTACGGCTTCTGATTCCCATTAAAATCAGTGGGAGTTATTCACCTAAAAACCTTTAAAAGATTGAACTTCAGTTCTTCTGCTCAAGCCATAAAAGCTCACTTTAGCTCCCATCCCATGATCCAAAGGTGAAGGTTATTTTACTAGCACTTCCTAAACTAGCAAGATCAAGTATTTAAAGAAGTAACTGTGAATAAAGACACAGAATCCAATTCCAGCTGCTATTGAACTCAATAAGAGCTATGTCGATAATATCAGTCATGTCAATGACCACAGACCTTTGGGATAAAACATTCAAAAGCACATAAGGAAGTGCCTATAGAGTACAATGAAGTTCTATGCTAAGATACCTCATTCTAGTACTGAGAGCTAGTTCTTACAAGCAAAGCTCACTTACCAATGCATAGCACTACACTAGTATAGCTATATTGCTTCTAGTTGGGAACTAGCTAGTTCAGGGTGCCTCATTATGGCACTATCTTATATGAAGTGACTTAAGTGACCTAGAAATCTTAGTTCCATTTTTAAAAGAGAATTAGGTAGTGGGGAATCAAAGTCAATGGCTGGCTATCAAGTGCCTAAATCACCTGAAAATGAGATGGTAACATTTTCAAAATCATACCCTTACTATTATGTGTTACATGGCAGGCAATACATCATAGCACAGAAATAAAATGGAAATTAATCATTATTAGGACACAATGCAGAAAGAACCCCCCCTGCTTCTTCAGAAATAACGGCCAACGATAGAACCTGCATTTAAATATCAAGTGAAATTCAGTTATAATCAATATTGTTTTAACCAAACTTTAAAAAATAAGACTTTTATTCTTAAATTCCATTAGGATATTACAATTATTCCACAAGAATATATTTTTTCTTGTTTACATACCAAATATTTCTTAACAGAAACTTCTCCTTGAAACCTAGTCATAGTAAATGTATAGTCATTGCATTTCAGTGATAACTGTCCTGTTCATCTCAGTATTTATAACTAGCAAATTGCACATCAAGAATGACGGTGAGGATGGAGTGGTGCCATGATGGTGGGGGCAGAGGGGACGAAGGGAGGGTGCAAGGCCAGCACCGCACAGCCACTGTCCCATGCCACCTCCAAGCAGCAGGGGTGGGGGGGGAGGGGGAGCGAGACCAGTGCTGCTGGCCTCACCCCCCAATCCATTCCCTCTGCCCCCACCGTCATGGTGGCACTCCGTTCCCACCATCATTCTCCCCCTGACTCCACATCCAGTCCCATGCCACCTCCTCCCTCCCTCCGGCCCTGCCGTCATGGCAGCTCTCTGTCCCCACCATCATTCTTGATGGTCAATTTTATCCTGTGCAGGACTGGCTGGGGCCATGCCCCACAAAACCATTATGGACAGATAGACAGACACACAGACACATGGACTGAGCCCTTTATATATATAGAGAGAAAACTCATTATGATCTATGCAGTTCATTATCTATGTTTTTTTTTTCCAGTTTTAGTTGTGCTGTTTGCAGCGCTGAAGAGGCAGAGAAAAAAAGAACCCTTGATCATCTCAAAAGATGATGTCCGGGATAACATTGTGACCTACAATGATGAAGGAGGTGGGGAAGAGGATACTCAAGCTTTTGACATTGGCACTCTGAGGAATCCAGAAGCTAGGGAGGAAAGTAAGATGAGAAGAGATGTTATTCCAGAAACTATATTTCAGATAAGGAGGACTGCACCCCTGTGGGAGAATATTGATGTCCAAGATTTTATTCATAGAAGGCTAAAGGAAAATGATATAGACCCAACTGCACCTCCTTATGATTCATTGGCAACGTATGCCTATGAAGGAAATGATTCTATTGCAAATTCACTTAGTTCACTTGAATCACTCACTACGGAAGGGAACCAAGATTATGATTACTTGAGTGACTGGGGACCTCGATTTAAAAAACTAGCAGATATGTATGGTGGAGATGACAGTGACCGAGACTGAAGAAGTAATCTGTGACTTGGTCAGTGTTAGTGGAAGTAATGTCTATGTTACTAGATAAAAAGTGGCCTACTCTCTCTTACTTGGAAAAAATACAAAAAATAGGTGTTGTCTTAGTAAGGGTTTGGTTAATCAATAAGTCAACGTGAATGAATACGAATGGTTTAGATGCATATAAGTTTAAAACAAAAAGCTATGCCCTCTCTGCCTAATATCCTCCGACGGAAGGTTCTCATTGGCAACAAGAAGAAACATAAAAGGCTTTTTGTGCCTTTATTACTGAGATGGAAAACTCAAATTTCTCTTTTCATTTTTTAATTGCTTTGCGTCACTTTTATTATTAGCTGGGACACTGCATACCCACCTTGTAATATAATCTGAAAAAAATATTCCTATAAATGAATCAATATAACTGCCATATTTATTGAGTTGAAGAATGTCTGTGCATCGAATCATCCTGATATTTTTATATATGTATATTTATATTTTTATATTTTTATTAAATAAATTAGTATTTATAAAATATTAATTATTTGATTTACTTTGCCAATTACAAGTTATTGACAAGACATGCATTGTATGGTGTTTCCCCAGCACTGCACCCTGCCAATTAACCTTGATAGAGAAAATGGCTGAATTTGAAAATGCAAGAACAACATAGATGAGTCGATCTCTCATAGATGTAAAATGTAGAAAAAATAAAACATTATGTTTCTGGGTAAATCCAAACACAGAATTATAAATAAATATAATTTAACTTGAATATTTGGCTATTTTAGGACATCAGGATAGTTTCAGTGTTGATTTTTTTTCTCCTTATTTGCTAGCAGTTAATGCATAAAAGGATTAAATGCATGGATTCCAAAGGATTGAAGAACCCACGCAGGTTTACTCCAGTAGGTTTATTACTCAGGCAAAGACGTATATAGCGCACTTTTTAAAAGAAAGCAAATATCAGCTATTGAAGAAATTCTGCAGCCTTATATCTCTTTATTTTAGCAACATTTAATTAGTGAGAAGCTTTTATTACTAACTCTTTAACAGAAATCTGAATGGCAGTTAACAAAAGGCCACTCTCTAAATGAAAAAAAAAACACCAAAATAAGCAATCCCCCCAAAACCCACATTTAACACTAAAAGGATTTCAGTATGGTTTTCTTTGAAATAAAATGCCCTACAAACAACATGGAAAATATAAGGAGGTTTCCTCCTCCTCTTTCTCCTTAATTTTC